GTGTGTGTGTGTGTGTGTCTGTCAACACGATAACTTGAGAAGGTCTTGATGGATTGTCTTGATACTTGGTAGGTGGGTAGGTCTTGATGAGACCTCAAAATGATTAGATTTTGAGCCACCTGGCGGCTTGTCATGGTACTGCAGCAGAATTTCCGGTTTTGATATCTCATGATCCAGACATGCTAGGGTGACGAAATTTGGATGGTAGATAGCTCTTGTGCTGAGGATAAAGTGACATGAGTTTGAGCCCCCTAGTTGCTTGCTCTGGAACTGCAGGGGGGTTTAATGGACAAATGTTTAAAGGGGGATAACTCAAGAACCGATTGATGGATCATCGTGATTTTTGGTATGTAGGTAGCTTGAGTGATGCTTGACATAATGATATTACAATTATGCAAATATGGATGTAATTTGCATAATTAATGAGGAAATTCTATTTATCAGCTGCATTCCATAATAGGAAGTTCAAGCTTGTGACATATGTTATTAAGAATCAGAGAAACACAGGCAGATATCGATTATGCAAATGAAGACTTAATTTGCATAATTAATGAGAAAATATTATAATTGCATAGTGGTAACTGCCTGGAATTTTATACTTGGGGTGTTTGAAAGTTAGGTTAAGGTGAACATAATCAAACATAACTTATTCAAATAAGGACCTCATTTGCATAATTTTTGAGAAAATGTCATCATGGCATTCTTTGTTAAGATAAGACTGTCTTTTGGTGGAGAATATGATCAACAGATATAATTCATGCAATTGAGGATCCTATTTGCATAATTAGGGGGACTAATATATAATTTCTTAATCATAAAAGCTAACATCATTTGGCGAAGGTATGAGATCGTGGAACTCTAGTTAATATTAAAATAAAGTTATTCATTTACAATTATGTAAGAATTAGGAGAGTAGAAACAGAAAGACACTCCTGGTCCCAGGCCGGGGTTCGAACCCACGACCACCCGAGCACCAGCTTCAAATCAAACCCGACACTCCTACTGATTCAGCTAGAAGGTCTAGACCCGTTGGCCAGGTCAGTTGGTAGTGCCTATAAACCTGTCTTGTAAACCTGTATAATATTTGTGACAATGATTGTCACAAATATTATACAGGTTTACAAGACAGGTTTATAGGCACTACCAACTGAATGATTTCTTTTTCCACCACATCGTTTCTAGCAGCCTGTTCCGGACCGTACCAAGTAATACTGGGGAGGGAGCAGCATGTCTCTGTTTAAGACCCGAGACTGGTGGTCGGCGAGGTGTCAGGAAGAGACGTTCGACCAGGGCTGTCTGTGTGTCGCTAACATCGACAACAGTCCCAATGGACATGGTATGGTCTCGCAGTATAGATTTCACTTTTAGATTAGTTAAAGGAGCATTTATTTCAGGAGGAAGGTGTTACTGTGTTTGGTTTAAACTGACGTGTTATTTTCCAATTGATTATAATTTTAGGAAGTAAAAATGCACAGTAGAACCCACACTAAAAAATATCATCAGTGCTCAGTAACTTTCTGCAATTTCCCTCCAAATAATCTCAGTCTGTACCTATCGCCTATTTGAGATACTTTGTAGATGACAATATGCTGGATACAATGCTTCCTGGTACCTAAATTTTCGCTGTATCTATAGCTCAAGAAGACTCCCATAAGATGTTCATTCCCTTGTCATCTTTGTTCAGTAATGAAGTCTTTCAACATTGTTTTTCTCTCATAAACACAAGTGATCTTGCATCCAAATATTAACTTCTTCACGTTGTTTTTGTTTGTCCCCAGACAAAGTCCTGATCGGCAGTTTTGCGGGTGTGCTGCGTGCGTACCTGCCGCGTCCCGGGAAGGGAGAGGGGTTCAAGCCGGAGGACCTGCTGATGGAGGTACAGCTCAACAGCCCCATCCTGCAACTACAGGCCGGACGATTTGTGTCGTAAGTAGCAGTTTGTATTCTTAAACTTGGACGAGATCTGAGGAAGACTTCTTTTTAATGTCAGGGCTCAAACTACTTAGTATTTTCTGATTTTTTTTCTGTCGCCTGCAGCATTGCAAGTTGTCAAAAAATTTTCCTGCAATTCAGGAAATGTTCTGCAAATTCCCAAACTGCTATCTTGACCTTGCTTTTACTATTTCATTCAGGAACTAAAAAAAATTGAAATCGAACAACTGAATAAAGTCTGCAAGAGATTGAAGTTTCATACATGAGCTAATATCTTTTAGCAATGAACTGTGAAAGGATTATGTACCAGGATGTCAAACCTTTAATAACATAATGGGGATAAAGTGAATATCAGTCTTTTTATACTTGTATATTCCAGAGGCACAGAGGCCCTTCACTTGGCAGTGCTGCATCCCAGAAAAGTGGCTGTGTACGGGATATCACGTAAGTTTGGGAAATCTTTCCATAACTTTTATCTGAATCGTCCAAAAGATGATATTCTACAAAAGGTATTTGGATCCTTTGTTCCTTTCTGTAAACATATCAATGGCTTATAAATGTTTAAAACTTAAGAATTAAGATAAAGGGAGTCTGTCTAAGTTTGGTCAAGGAGCGTTGTATGTCCAAGCCTCCAGCAGTCACACTCTGCATTTCTTTTTGAAAGTTGCTAGGGACCTTCACTGCATTATGCCAAATGCAGTCCTGTTTTTCCCTTGTCCAGTTGTGTCAGGTGCAGTTGAGCACGGCAGCCACTACCAGCTGAACATGATGTACGAACACAACCTGCAGCGGACCGCCTGCAACATGGCGTACGGGCCGTTCGGAGGGGTTAAAGGTCAGTATAAAGGTCAAAATTCTGTCAAAGTGCACCAAATGTAATTCTTAAGTAAGATGCCAGTAAAAACCAAGGCAGACTTTGGAATAACTAACCTCCAGTCATGGTTTTGAATCCTGTTACATTTACCCCTCTCGAAGACAGCATTTTTTTCTTTCGGAAGTATGTATTTCCAAGGAAGTTATAGCCTTGCATGTTATCTATAAAATCCTTTCTTACATTAAGGGGATACAAAAGAAGTTGTGGATATTTTGGATTTGCTAAAAGTAAATGTTGGCTTCGAAGTTTGCAAATATGTTTCTAAGTTCTTTATAACCTAGCATGTTATCTATAAAATCTATAAAACTTAATGTGATAGAAAAGAAGTTGAGGATATTCTGGATTTGCTATAAGTAAATGTTGGCTTTGAAGTTTGCAAACATGTCTCATTTTCAAATTTGTTTTTTTATTTCATTCCCCCAGGCAAGGATTTCCTGTGCATCCAGTCGATGGACGGCACCCTGTCGATCTTTGAGCAGGAGAGTTTCGCGTTTAGCCGGTTCCTGCCGGGATTTCTCCTGCCCGGGCCGCTGAAGTACATCACCAGAACAGACTCCTTTGTCACAGTGTCTGCGCTACGACAAGTAGAGAGTTATAAGTACGACTTACAACTTATCTACTGGTTTGAATAAAAGGTTGAACTTCAATAAACACCAATAATTTTTGGGTGACAACACTGTAGGCGAAATGGTAGAATCAGACAGTGTTTGGAAGGATATTCAGGAAGTTGTTCAGAAAACATCACCAGAACTGATTTGTCATTGTGTTGGAGAGTTATAAATACGACACACAAATTGTCTCATTTTAGTTTGCTACAGGATGATTTCTGGTTGACAATACTGTAGGTGAAAACATTGTCTCTCTGTGTCTCTTTGTAAGTTTAACAGATACTTTATTCAAGACTATAATTCTGATGAATTGTCACCTCTTGTTCCACCATTGAAAGCTTTCCAGTATACCACTGCATAGTCTACATTGTAGGATACTCTACACACTGTCCAAATACCAGTCTCTTAGTCCTTCTATCTATAGCAACAGCTTTCCACAGATGGAAAAAATATTTTTACCTCCCGAATACAACTCACAAGCCTTCAAAAACATTTGTCGCCATCTCCTAACATAGTCACCTATACCAACTTAGTTTAGTGCTTAGAAGTGGTCATTGAGCAAACTTAGTCTATGTCATTTCCCTGTTATTTTGTATTGTATTTTCATTGTACAGTCATTTCATTATTTCTGGGACAGGTAGTAATGTTCATGTATATGTCTCTTTCTCCCTCAGGTACCAAGTCCTAGCTGTTGCCACAGACTCCAGCTCTAAAGAAGAATCACAGAAAATCAGCTCTGGAAAAAGAGTCACTGTAAGATATTGTACTGATTTCTCTTTTTAAGATTTTTAAGATTTCTGTCCAAGAATCTCTATGAATTCTGCAGTAAGTAATTTGAAGAGCTTGCATGTGTGATTTGTCAAAATACAATCATGTTGTCAGCATACAGCTTCTTCCTGAGTATATAATGTTCTGTTTTTCCTTTTTTTCAGATTGACTGGTCGCTGAACATCGGTGAACAAGCTGTGGACATCACATTTGTCAGTTTTCCACAGGCTCCACCCTCCATACTAGTACTGGGTAAGGAATTTTTGTTTGTTAAGAGCATCAAGATTCTGTCAAAGAATGGAACGATGTCTTGAAAACCCTGGTTTAGACCAACAAGAACATTGTACACTGCTTCTCAGTGTATATGATTGTAGACTGTTGTAGACATTTGTAGACTGTTGAAGTTTTCCAGTAGATTTTAACTAAAATGTTGATATCAGCTAAAATGTTGATATCACTTTATCAGCTTGTAAATATTTCTCCTTGCTACCTTACCTTGTAGCTAATTTGCAGTACAAATGTAGATGCCAAAAGTCTACATAACACAATCAACAAGTGTTGATTTATATTATATATGTTGTATTTATTTCTTACCAGGAGAGCACAGTTTGTTCTGCGTTAAGGAGACAGGTCAGCTGAGATTCATGAAGAAGCTGGAGTACAACCCTTGTGCATTCCTACCTTTTGCTGCTAGTAAGTAACACACAATGCCAGGGCTAGAAAAACTAACTGCGCATGCATGCATAGAGCTGTGCAGGCATTTCTGATGTCTATATAGCCTGTAATACTATCTAAAGTGCCCTGTCTTGTTTTGTAGAGTGAATCAAAAGACAATTTTTTGTTGCAGTCATGTAATCTTCAGGGTCATGTTTTAGATATCTTAGTGACAAATTGACTACAGATAGTACTACTGATAAGAGTATTTGTGGAGAGTTAAAATTTGTATATTCTTTGTACTATTTTTAGCTTTTGGGGCTGCAGTTTAAGTGGAAAAATGTCATTGTCCTAGGCTTCAATTTGTTTTTCTCGTTATTTCCAAGACAGAGTGATCAACATGATCAATGTTACAGCTTTTGTTGCAGCTGCATGTAAAGGAATCTTCCTTGAATGTCCTATGCCAATATAACACATCAACAATCCGATAAATTAGAACGAATACAGAAACGTGCGCTAAGAATAATTTTAGGCCCTCAATACTCATGTTATGATGAAGCCCTTTCCCATTTTGGCCTCTGTACCTTGAAAACTAGACGAGAATCGCTAAGCCTTAAATTTGCCAAATCTCTGTTGAATTCGCCGACGTTTCGAAACTGGTTGCCCCCGCTACGGAAAGATGTTCACAACAGAAATTTAAAGGGCAATAATCAGCTCTGTATTCCGATGGCAAATTCCAATAGATATAAAAACAGCCCCATTCCATACTTCACTGCACTTCTGAACAACGTCAGGTAACCTATCAGTGTGTGGTAATTTTTATTATGATTATTGTCTAATTATTTTAATTATTTTGCAATATATAGTTGTTTCTATAGATTTTATCAAGTGTTTTATTAATTTCTTGTAACTGCCTAATATGCATAATTCAGCGACTTGTACTATGTACAAGTCGCTGCAATGTATTTTAGTGTATTGCTTTCAATTGAAACAATAAACCAATTATATATATTTTTCTCTTTCTCCCCAGCCCAGGACGGAGTGATCAACACGATAATCTGCACGCACACGAGCCAGCTGCTGGTGTACGGAGACGTCACGCTCAAGTGGGCGGCTCAGCTGCAGCACGTGCCCGTCGCGGTCAGGGTCGCAACTTTCCCGTACGTACCGTCAAATTCTTCTTGCTATAATTTGCATTAAGTTTTCAACCAATTTGCTAAAGGTAAAAAGGTAAAGGTAGTCCCATAGCGTTTTTTGAGGTTGTAGGGGCAGTGATTTGTTAATCTACTGTGTCTAGGGTACGATATTGGAAGGCAAAGCCCATCTCTCTTCGCTGCCTTTTAATAATAATATTTTTAATAATAATATAGGTTTTTATTTGAAGCCAAAGGCTGAATTTACCAAAGTCATGTAACAGATTTTACACTTGGGTGGAGTGAAGAAATCAGTGTTTGCTATATGCTGTATGTTCTATCCTTTTGCTAACTTCTGATAGTGGTCGACATGTACTAAATCATTTGGCCATTTGATCTACCCTATGAAATTAAATGTATAACCATTAGATTGCTTCTGACTCTGTTTTGTTGTGTTTAGTGAACTGAAGGGCGTGATCGCTACGCTGAGCGAGGACGGCCACCTGAGCTGCTCGTACCTCGGCACGGACCCCGCCATGTTCATCGCTCCGGCGCCCGAGTCACGCGACATCAACTACGACGAGCAGGACCAGGAGATGGAGGAGATGAAGAAAAGGATCGCCCAGGCCTCGCAGAAAGGAGGTGAACTTTCAACTTTAGACTGTTCCATAGTCATTCAAGATAGGGGTAAACTTGCCCAGGCTTCGCAGAAAGGAAGTGGGAGCTGTAAAACTTTGGACTACTCCAAATTCAGATTTAGAATTTGTGTGAATTGCTGTTTAAAGTTAAAACTTTAGATCCAGCACAAACAAGTGTCTCACAGAGACATGTAGGTGAGAGAACTTCCTTGTGTTGGGTCTAAAGTTTTAACTTTAAACATGTGACACAGATTAACGTTCATGATAGTGTTAATTGCTGATTTTGATTTTGACAGCAAAATAGAGGCCAACTTTGATAGTGAAAAAATGAGGTGAACTTCGAACTTTAGAATGTTCCACGGTCAAATTCAAGATAGGGGTGAAGAACTTATATTGTTCAGTGATGTTTTAGGCAGAATTGGTTACTTCCTATGGGTACGAAACAAGTATTTTCTTTAGGATTTTGACACATGATCTATCTGTTCATGTGTTGCAGCATAGTTTAATGTTATTTGCGGTTTTTTTTGTACAGATATCCTTCCACAAAAGAAGAGCGAGGATGAGTTAACAATAACAGCATCAGTGCCCCCCTCCCTCGACCCTGTTACGGTATGTCAAATCCATTTAAAAAAAATATATGACACCTTTTTTTGTGTCACACACTTCGTTACATATACATGTAATTGTATCAAGTTTATGGTTGTTTTAAGACTTCTGTGTCAGTAACTCAGAGTCTGCTTATTCCTTTTTTTACAGAAAGCAACAAATCCTGAAATCCAAGATGAAAGTGTGCCATCCATAACAGCAGAGGTAAGGTTGAGAGTTCTTTTATTCCACGTCATATTTCATCATACAAGGGACTGTTTGAAATATGATGATATTTCATCTTCGACCATGTTTAACAATGGTATACAGTATTTACAAGGTTACATTTCATGAAACCTGCAGTTTGAAAGGAAATCAGTTAAGGTTATGATATTAAAGTACATGAATCGAAAGAAGATTAAAAGAATTGTTTTTTGTCGTTTCAATTGATGTTCCTCTTGTATTCCAGCTGACATTGAAGAGTAAGATGCAGGTAGAGAACGTTCACCTTACGGTCAGAGGTTACGGAACCCTCGGCTCCACACAGACGACCTTCAAATTCTCCTATCTAGGTCAGTCATCCTCTAAGTTCATGGGTCAAAGGTGTTGACCAGTGACCCTTCAACTTAAGGTCATCAGTCAAGGTTTCCAATTCTACATTTGTGTGTAGCATAAAAAGCATACAGAATGTATGAACTTTAGTATGTATGACTTTTACAAGGTACAACATATTGCATGTTTAGCCATTAAGTGTTTTGTAACAGTTCTAACAAACTAGTCTACTTGATAAACTATTAATACAGAAGCATATTGGCCCTACTGGATGCTTTAGATTGCATACATTGTACCACATCATTATACTGTATTATCATTCCAAAAATTTTGGTAGTTAGTCTTGATAATGATACTCTAGTTCTGATTATGTGTGTTTTGTTGTTTCAGATCCCTCCAGTCCTCCCGTTTTTCCTGTGTCATTTTACCTACAAGGCACCTACCCGCCCGCTTCCCTCACAGCAGAAGTGTCAGCATCCTACAACATTCCTACAGGTAAGGCTGGCTACCTGCAGTGTGGTACAGAACTGCTAGGGGTCACTTTTGAAAAGACAAAGTCTCCCTGACTGTTGTTGCTGATTTTGCCTCCCACAACATGAAGAAGACACTATGCTCAAGTTTCTGGGTTCAAATTCCTTGTGGTTAGTATTGTAGACTCAGAATCTGAAGGTTCTGGGTTCGAATCCCTGTCAGGCCTCATTGTTGTGCCATTTGCTCACTCAACTCAGGTGAAAACGAGTATCTAGCTTTGGTTAGGGATGTCCTCTCAAATGGGACGTTAAGCTAGAGGTCCTGCGTTTGAGGATAGCTGTTGTAGTGGTTTCTTTTGATCATACTCGAACAAGTTTTCCATGACAGTAGTACATGACTTTGTGGCTTCCTACACGCTCACAAGATTATGTAATCAATTTGTTGTGGCACTGTTAGAAAAAACCTCACAATGTTCATTTATTTCCAGGTGCTCCGCGTACGGTACAAACCACGGTCTCCCTCCCCCTCTCGCTGGTGTGTCGGCCGTGCATGCCTGTCAAGAACGCCGCCTACAAGGTTACCATAGATACCAACAAGCCACCTGTTAACCTCAACGAGCTCTTTCCAGGTACGGTCTTAATTGTTTATTTGTGTATTTATTGACTGAAGATTGTTAAGCCACCTTATATGTTGCCAAAATGTTTTGTGATGTCATGCCAGCAAGGCCTTTGTAATAGCCACTGGCTAGTTGGGCTGCCCTGGCTGTGAGGGTTGACCAGCCAAACCAATAAATAAATAGATAAATTATTTATTGATCTTCTTCTGTTTTCTGTTCTATTTCTGTTTCTTCATAATGTAGGAAAATTGAATACATTGTATATGTCTAACAGTAGTGTGTATAAGAGACAGCATAGAAGCATCTATAGTCCAGTGGTTAGTGACCCTGCCTCGATAAATTATTTATTGATCTTCTTCTGTTTTCTGTTCTATTTCTGTTTCTTCATAATGTAGGAAATTTGAATACATTGTATATGTCTAACAGTAGTGTGTATAAGAGACAGCATAGAAGCAATTCTATAGTCCAGTGGTTAGTAACCCTGCCTCTGGACCGGGAGGTCATGGGTTTGAATCCCGGCTGTTGTTGCTCACATACATGCTACAGGAAAGGGCGCAGGATGCTCAACATTGTCCATTGTTCATTGACCTTGTCGAAAACAGCTATGGGAACTTTCAGAGAACTTATTTCATTCATTTGATTGTACACGTATGAAAAAAAGATGATAGTGCTACAAACTTTACTTTCCTCTGGTTTGAGTGTTTGAATTATTTTTTCAGATCTTGCGGGTGACTATGAAGGCAGTAGTGGGTTTGCGCTGGGGTTTGAGCTGATCGGAGGTCCAGTCATCACAGTGCTCGCGTCTAAAACTTCTCGTAAGTACTTGTGGATACTGAAACTGCATCTTAACAGTGTTGAAGCCTGATGTTTCAGAATATAAAAGATCAGAAAAATACAGAACTCCTGGACCATGTACATGTAGTAGCTTTGTTATCAGTTCAGCTTTTATAAAATTTATAGATTGAAATGCTCCCCAATACATGTACATGGCAGGCCCCAGCGTTGTGCCTTTGGGAAATGTATATACATGTATTTCCTTATTTGAAAATTAGGTCTGCAGAATTTCTTCAGAATTCCGATTTAAAAGCTAAGATTTAACCCTCAGAACTCTAAACTTGCTGATATACAAATACACATCTAATATTGTATGAGATTTGTAGACTATCTATTGGCCTTATTCAAAGTCATACATATTATATACATGCCATAATAACTGCTATGATTTCCTTACAGAGAAGTACCGTGTGCAGTGTGACCAGTTCGATGCGCTATGGTTAGTTGTTAAGGAGCTGGTGGATCGGCTAACCAGACACCACAAGCGGCGAGGCTCCAGCGACTTCAGATGTTCCTTCGTCGGGGGGCTGCCTCTGCAGGAGTACTTTGAAATCATTGATGCACATTTTGAGGTAAAGGTTTAGTCCACTAGTCTCCCATCTTTGACATGTAGCAGTTTTCCTCTTGATACTATTTTAGACCTGTATGGACCTGGACTGGTACCTAAACAAGTTCAACAAACAATCTGCTACATGTTTACATTTATAGCCAACTATCTTTTTAGTGCTAAATTGTTGTCTTTGTTTAAAGATTTCAAGTTTTCCTGATTTTAAGTCTTAGGTGGTCAACATTATCTTCTTTGAGATGCAATTTAACTAGTACCTTTATTGTAAATACTGTAGTAATGTCCCCTAGTGTTTTATTTCGTCTGGTAACAGGTACATGTTCAGGTCCAACCTTAATGATTTTACAGCACACAGCCCTGCACAAGGATATTCTAGACAGTTATCATGAAAGTTTATCTGTGTGTTGGTAGTTAAGGTTTAAAGTTAACAACTTACACCTAGAGCTTCGACCAGTCACTCTGGTCTTCCTTAGTAGACTGGCCCACTTCAAAGAAGCCATGTGACAAGCCTCACTGGGTCAGGCTACTGAGGAAGATCAGAGTGGCTGGTCAAAACTCTAGGTGAGAACCATTCTTTGTATTGAATCGAAAGTTTTAACTCTAAACAAGTTTCCACTGTTGTTTTTCCCCAGCTGCGATCGCAGACGGAGCACCTGAAGAAAGTCCTGCAGCAGCGAGCGTCGCAGTTCCGCTCCATCCAGAGAAGGCTGCTCACCCGGTTCAAGGACAAGACGCCCGCCCCCCTGCAGAACCTCGACGCGCTGCTAGAGGGCACTTATAGACAGGTAAGGCTTTATAGGGATCTCTTGTACTGTAGACTTTATACAGCTCTGTAACACTATGTCATTACTGTAAGTTACAAGCATGTCGGCAGAACGTACTACACCTGTGCGAAACCCTGATTTTTGGATGTTTATTTGGTCAACGTTGCATCAGAATTTTGCCTGGTGCAGATGATATCTTTTCGGACATAACATTTGGGAACTACAGACGAGATGTTAACTTTATATACCCGATATGACCTTATATGAGACATTCTGCCGAAGCGCCATGCACTACACATTACGGGTATCATGCAGGTGCAGTTCGTTCTGCCAACGTACTATGGTAGCACAGATGGAGGTGTGCAAATATCTTTGAAAAATGGAGGTGTTCACAGAACTGTAAGCTCAATGTGATGGCAGGTACAAAAAAAAGAATGTCTGCCAATTATTTGTTAAAGGTAATGATAAGTTTGTGGTACAGATGCGAACATAAAAGTTCAGTAAAAAAAAGCAGGAATTACAGTACTTCTGTGAAGGAAGTTACATAGCTACGCCAAAAAACAGTTACTCAAGCAACTGGATATGATTTTGGTAACGGTCGAAATCATATCCAGTTGCTTGAGCTAACTGTTTTTTGGCATATTTGTTTATTTATTTATTCAATCCAACAAAATCATACAAAAGCAGGGAATGCTAATGCATCCCTGAATTGTGTAATTGATTTTTACAATAGGTTAAAAAACAAGACAGAACAGGTACATAGAAACACACTATATACAAATATGTACAAATACCATTCACTCTACAACAGCAAATAGCAGGCATAGGTTTTCAAATACATGTATCAGCCATTGTCGCTGACTTGTAGAGTCTTACTGCACAATGAATGAAGGACTTTTTCAGGCGCAGGGTCCTCGCTTTGGGCAGAATGAACGTGTTGCTGTTCCTAAGCTGTTCCTATATCTTATTACCTGGATGTCTAACCTTCACCGACGAAGTTACATAGCCTTTGTGCAGGCACAGTACATTCTGCCAACATGTTCACACAGAGAAGTTAGAAATCATTGCACCATGTGGCTTGCTTTGAGCAAGGAGATATTGCTCCTAGGATAGGAACAGACAGACAATTAGTCAAAAGGTAATTTGTGTCACCGTCTAGACACAGCAAACTTATTAGCTACAACCTCTGAGGGCGTGAGAATGGCGTAACTCGGAACAGAGTTACCGCTCCGGTCTCCGGCTCGATTTCTTCTCACAGGTATTATACGAATTAACAGGTGAGCTAGGCGGTTACATGATATGGTGCTACCGTATCTTACTGTATCTTTGAAAACTATTACACATGACGTACCACAGTACTACATGGAGTTGGTGCTTGGGTCTCCGGCTTGATTTCTTCTCACAGAATTATTATACAAATTAACAGGTGAGCTAGCCAGTAAGGTGATATGGCCTCACTGTATCTTACGATACTGTAGCAGTCTGTCAAACTATCACAGTTCTAAATTTATCTTGGTACCAGGTATCAGTAGGAACAGATAGAGTTAGTGCTTGGGTCTCGGGCTCGATTTCTTCTCACAGATATTATACGAATTAACAGGTGAGCTAGGCGGTTACATGATATGGTACGGTAATACTGTATCTTACCGTATCTTTGAACACTATTATACATGACCACATTACTAAATTTGTCTTGGATTGGCACCAGGTATTATTAGGAACAGATAGAGTTATTGCTTGGGCCTCGGACTCGATTTCTTCTCACAGATATTATACGAATCAACAGGTGAGCTAGGTGGTTACTTGATATGGTAGCTTACAATACTGTAGCAGTCTAGTACTAAATTTATCTTTACAGATTAAGATTGGCATTACATTACGAAAACTGAGTTACTGCTTGGGCTTGGGAGTTGATTTATTCTCACAGATATTATTTATAATAGGAATTAACAGGTGAGCTAGGTGGTTAGGTGATATGGCCTTACGTACTGTACCATAACTTACAATACTGTAGCAGTCTTTGAAATTATTACATCACAGTTCTAAATTTATCTTGGATTGGTACCAGGTATTGGTAGGAACAGAGTTATCGCTCGGACTCAATTTCTTCTCACAGATATTATGCGAATTAACAGGTGAGCTAGGTTGTGACATGATACGGTACTACCGTATCTTACAATACTTTCGCAATCTATAAAAACTATGATATTACACAATCTATCTTAAATCATATTTCTGTTGTGGTATGTACTCTGTTTTTATGGGTAATTGGCAAATTGTCTTACTGATAGCTGTTTTTGAAACACTGCTCCAAGTGTAGTTCTTTACTTTAGCCTCTGGCTCTTCTTGCACTTCTGGTAGCTTTCCTTTCATTCCTTCAGCACCCCTGTTTTCAATTAATAGATACTGAAAATTTACTTGGGGGAATCATCAAATTGTTGCACTGATACTGTATTTGTTTTGGAAACCTTGCCCCAAGGCCAAGTGCAGTTCTATATATATTACTTCAGCCTCTGGCTCTAATTCAAGCCTCCTTGCACCTTGCTAACCCTAAACTTTCATTCTTTCAGCACCCCTGTTTTCAATTAATAATACTGATATATTGATACTACATGGTACTGTTTTTGAATAAGTTTTGAAATAGCTTTGAAACGGTGTGGTAAGTTTAATACCAGCAGGCTTCGATGGCTAATTTTAGTATCGCCACGTCTGATATGCCTCAAATTCTGTATAAATCTTCTGTCCGAACATATGATTAGGAAAAAATCTTCCTGCTCTTTTGACCTTTTCGTCATCAAAGGAAAAAATGTGAGGATTATAACAGTGGGTGGCGATGACGATAGAAATCGTTTTTGTTAATTCACCAAAACAGCGATATTCTTAGACATCCAAGATTTTTCTAGAGATAATACGTCACGACGCAGCCAAACTGAAAGCCACAAAACACACAGTCTTACGTTCTGATCCGCGGTTAGATTAATCGCATCAGCCGAGTTACCTCCACAATAGGAGAAATATTTTCTTGAGAAAGGGATCAAGAGAGAGGGTTCATCCCTTTTTTCCCTACAGAGTCTTAATTGAACCTTTCCACATCTTGGCTTAGCTTCCAGACTGGGAAAAGGTCTTGGGTCAAAACTAATTCAGAAATATTTCCGTCATTTTCCCTTGTAAAATATTCTTTGTGCAATACACTTTGGAAAAAAATGGTTATTGGTTGTACATGTGTAAGACTTGAATGATGAAAGGTAACAAAAACCAAAGTAGTTTGTTAGCACAATTTTAAACTCAATACAAATTGCAATATCCATAGAGAACAATGCTATATAGAACTCAAGTTGACAGGGTTGTCTAGCAATCATTTCTATTCAGTGTAAGTGTCTGGGTAGATTGATTGATTCATTCATTAATCAAATTGGTCATGTAATCAATTACCTATAATTCTAATCATTAAGTCGTCTATTATGCCTTAAACCCTCATGCATTATTAAAATTCTACTTCTTGAAAAATTGCTCTGCATCTGAGCTGAAAAGTTGATACTGTCACCTCTAGTGTAAGCAAAGGTTAGGCGATGGGTGGGACACAGTTAATGATTTTTTCCATCCCCTAACACCCCAGATTGCGGCCCTGAAGCCCCCATTGTCCCCCATAGTCCGCCATTGTTCGGTAAACGGAGAAATGAGAGAGCGGGGCAGAGTCCCTGATTACAGATAATGGCGCGGCTTTGTGGCTTTTGTTGCAAGCGCCAAGCGGAAAACAAGGGGGACTTTCCACATAACTGGGCACAATCCTTCAATGTCCAACCTGGGGGGACTCTCAAGAACAACACTTGTCTTGTCTGGTCTGTACGGAACTCGTGTTGTCTGGGCACAATATTAGAAGCACCAAGAGAGCAAAATGGAACATTCTCAACTCTGCAACTTGAACATAAAAAGTAAATGTCTTGATGTTGTTTGATGTCTAACAAAACTATTATCAGTATGAGCAGAAATTATGAAGATACACAAAATGCGCGATACAAAGAAGCATATAATTTTCTTCTTGTAGTATGAAACTACTTAGAATCTTTATCAGATTATAAGCAACATCGTTGCTTGTATGATTCTGAAAGTTAATCTCAAATCCATATTTAGATGATGTATCAATTTGGATAGGAGAGGAACATGTAGCAAATTTTCATGAAAAATACATTTCCTTTTGATTGACATAAGTATACACTGAGATGTTCCCTGCCCTCTGTGTAGCGACTTGCAATATTGCCACATGGTACAAATGTTATGACAAATGCTTCTGTCACAGTGATACGTTTAATCTGACATATACAAGCTTCCTGCCTAATCTTTGTTGAAATGCAGACGTTAGACCTTATATATGGCACCACCTGGGCACAGTCTGCTCCCATACTCTGTTCTGTTAAAAGATAATTCCTATCATGCCTTTCATAATCCGGCAGAATATTTGACCTATCACAAAGAAATTCCTTCTCTTCTTTTTTGTGAGACCTTGTCAACTAAATTTCTTTAGGAAACAAATCATGTGAGCAACAGTGAAAATTTACACATAAAAGTTTCTTTCTACTGAATTTTAGATCAAAGGAGTGTCATTCTGTGCGGTGCAATAATTACAGGATAGTTTCTATTGTTTTCTTTCTCTATCTGGGTATTAAGAGTTGATTATGTGGAATTTGAAGTGATAGGCTCTCTCGGTACGAAGGATAAGTGTCAAGATACTACATACCTAAAGTATATCCAGGACTCGAAATCAAACTACTAGAATGATATGTGTCCTTTACAATAACATTCTTCCAATAGTTTTGTAGTATGGAAAGGTTCAGTGTCAACTTCAAGATACGATATACCAAAAGTATGACTGGTATCAAAGACAAGAAAGCAAAATATTAGACTGATATATCAGAGACTTTTACTTTGAAATTCTCGCAATAGTTGAGTACTATGAAAAACTGTGTGCCTTGATATGATATCTCTCTCTCTATCCGGTTTAATGTAGTAACTTTGAGTTTCCA